GAGAGAGAGAGAGAGAGATACAGGCCATGGCACAGGTAAAGAGACACACCCCATGGCTGGACAGACGACGGTTGGCCGGTTGCTAACAGCTCTGTAGAAAGCAGCAAAGACGCTCGCAGCCCGAAATACGTCGCTGCTGCTGCGGACACACATTACCACGGCCTCGCTGCATGCCGTCCTGCTGCTGCTGCACTTCGTCTTTGGCCGGCCGGCGTCGCTGTGGAAGTACCTCCTCCTGACCTCGCCTACGCTGGTGATCGAGTTCTACTTTGAACGGCTGGGGAGGCCACGCTACGATGCGGCCAGCGGCTCGCTGAGGTCGCCGGGAGAGGATTTGGATGCGCCCGGCCTGACGGAGTACTGCTGGGACGTGCTGTACTGGACCTGGGGCTGCATGGGGGCCGCCTGCATCTTCGGAGACTACGGGTGGTGGATGTGGGTGGTTGTGCCGCTGTATTCCGTCTGGCTGGCCTACACGACGTTTATGGGCGTGAAGTCAGGCCTGCCTGGAGCTGCTGGCATGGACATGGGTGCAGACGAAGGTGCCGGACAGGCTGAGAGCAAGCGGCAGAAGAAGCTGGAGAAGCGCGGCCAGAGAGTCAAGTACCGGTAGGCCTTGCGTATTCTATGACCTCCTATTTCTGATATGGAACACTTGCTTACATCTACTTCTACAGGTAAATTGGTACTTCCGCAAGACAGCCAGTCAACCCTGGCTGGTCTATATCAAATGGAGCCAAAATATCCTATGGTTGCTGCCATTATATACTTATTTTTGACCGATGCTAGGTATATACCGTGTATTACTGAAGATACAGCTAGAGTCAAAAGTCGATAAATACATGCATGTCATAAAATAATACATTTCGCCCTGATTAAACGATAGTGCAGCTGAGCCTGCGTAGAAGTAGAATAGTATAGCATAGTATAGTGTACTGGGAACAACAAAACACGCCGGTATAGGAAAAGAGGTATCGTATCATCAATGTCAAAGAAAAAAAAAAAAAGAAAAAAAGAAACGGAAATAAAGAGACTCATTTTGATAGGTTATGCTGGTATTAATGACCTTCATTATACTCGTAAGCGGTTTCGTCTGAAGTAGACTCCTGCGGCTGTCCTGGCTCGTCAGATCGATATAGCTCAAGTAAAGCGGCCTGAGCAGCTTCCAGAGCAGCAGTCAACCGGGAAATTTCATCCTTAATGTGTTCACGGCGTTGTTCCGGTGGGGAAGATTCAGATGGAGGCGTGGCTTCGAGAGAGCTAATTGAGGACTGGACAGATGAAACGATATCACCAAGCTTGGTGCTTGCATCTTGCATCAGAGTGCTGGCTTCGTTTTTGGGGAGGGGTGTTTCTGAGAGGCCGGCCTTTGCGGAGTCAACGAGTGAGATGATCTTCTCTGTTGCTGAACCAACCATTTCATGGACATCGACAGGTTCACCTAGAGGTATAGACGGGGTATGTTGAGTATGCTCAGTGGTTTGACTCAAGGTATCCTCTGGCTCATTTGGAGTGGCATCTTCAACTACTTGCGTCACAAAGGCTGGAGCTTCGGCTTTGGTTTCGGGAGTAGATGAGGTTAGGCTGGAGGGTAAAGATACAGTCTCATCAGCTTGAATGGTGTCATCCGGCGTTTCGTGGTCAACAGGCAGCTGGCCGTGCTCCTGTTCGATAACATCTATAACCTCATCCTGATCTGACTTCTCAAAATTCGCAGGGTCTGGAGAGACGGGCTCCTCTATCATGGATGTGAATCCAGGCGAGGATCCCTCAGGTATAACAGCGGTTGCAGTCTCTTCTAGAATAACAGGAGCCTCAGGGGTCGGCTGGGGCTCCAAGGCCTCATCTGACGGAATAGTTTCTTCCAGGAGAGCAGACTTTGGTTGTTCACCGACATACTCTTCACCTGGCGGAGTCTCAACCTCGGCCTCAAGGCTTTCTGCCACAGGGATCTCTGCCACAGGGCTCTCTGATGGCTCACTAGCTTCCGTTTCGTTGGAAATAAACATTTCAGACGCATCAGATATCTCTGGCGGAGTGGGCTCAACGGTAGAAGTAGATGTTACACTTGTAATCAAGTACTTCTTCCTTTTTGCTATCATCTCATCGTTGATGTGATCGACGTTAAGTTGTCTGGTGGTATCTCCAGCCTCGATCTTCAGTTTGCCAATCGAGCGTATTTCCGCCAGTTGCCTTGCGGCATCCAGTGCAATATCCATGCCCCGTGCAACAATATTCTCTCCATCATCCTTGGCCAAAACAAAGCTATCATGCTGTAACCCAGCCTGCCGAATATCATCCTTCCATTCGCCGAGATCCGATTTGAGCTCGTAATAACTTGCCCAATCCGTGTACGTAACACCGTCAATAGCTGTCCAGCGCATTCCAATTTCTTGTAGACCAAGCTCACGGGCGTTCTCAAGGACGTCCAATGTGATGTTAATTGTCTTGGTCACGGCATGGGTGAGCGTTTCTTGATACTTATTGAACCAGAGACGAAGGGAATGTGCCATGCCCCTAATGGCATGGCTAGATTCCCTCAGCCGCTGTAGGAATGCATCTTGTGCCTTATCTTCATCTTCTTGAGTATACTCCTCAGGAATTGCCTGGATGATGGAGTATAGATCCTGCGCCAACGTATATAGCTGTTCACTGGCGACAGATTCCAGGCGTGCAAGTATGTCCTCTCCAGATGGCTTCTCCTGGCGTGCAATATCTTCCACTACCTGGCGAACCTGTGTTCGGACATGTTCAAGCCCTTTACTGGCTAAGCTTGTAGTCCTTTCCTTCCAAGCTTTGAGATCGGTCGAAATCTTTTCTCGCGCAAGCGCAGTTTGCTGAGCAGATGTCAGCTTGGTAGTAGCAGGAGGCGCCACAGACGATACTCGTGTATCCTTTGATTCAACGGAGCTTCGCGTAGACGACTTAGTTGCCGTGTACTCGTGAACTACTGAGCTAGACAATCATTAGCAATGAAGGGATATTGGAACGAAGCCAAAACTCAAAATATTGCTTACCTGGCAGTTTCTAGATTGACTTGCTGAATTGTTCGTCCCTCGCGGTAGCTGGCGAGCTTCTCTCCGATTTTCACAAGCTGCGGTTCCACGTTCTCAGAGTAAAGGGTCCTGATATGCGGTCGAACAGTGCCGTTGAGGAAGACTACTATGGCTGACCATGCTTCCTGTATGTATGGCGCAATGGTTGTAACGACAAAGTCATATATGGTTGCACAAACCCGATGAATCACTGGACGAGCATGAATATATGCTGGGACAACGTAATTGTTGTTGACGTGAACGCTATATTCAGCAGCTACCCAGAAGTAAGGGATAACAATCGACTGCGCCGACTGGATGCGAGGACTGATAGATGTCGTGTAGTAATCGACAACCTGCGCCTGCAGAGGGTCTGTGTGTGGCGACACTTTCTGGTTCCACTGCGACTTTGCAAGCTCCATAGCCTGCTCCACGTAAGTAGATACATGGCCCTGATAAATGTTTTTCGAGAACTGTGCCGTCGGAATGTACACCTTCTCAGCCGCCTTGTAGGCTGATTGTGCGTATGGCTTGATATGTTCGACGTGTTCTGCGGCGTACTTGTGGTAGTAAGGTGATATGTAAGGCTCGAGGCGAGTTTTTGCGATTATGTATGGCTCGCAGACTCGCGGAGACTCGTCATCAAGCTCGGAGAGAGACGACGGGCATCGGAACAAGGCTATAAAGATCGAATACCAGACGAAGAGCCTGCAGATGAAGTGTCAATGGGCTGGTTTTCGCTTATGCTCCTGGCAGCGAGCTCAAGGTAAACAAGGGTAAACATACCGTAAGAGCACGCTTATCGTGCCTCTGACTGGCCGGAATGGCTTCTTCTTCCTCACCCTCGTGTACTTCTCTTCTACAACTGGCTTATCCAGATATGTGTCTTCCTCGATTTCCATGTCTTCCACCTTGACCAGCCTATCCGGATCCATCGTGGCTGCAACTTGGAGGCCACGCTACCTCCAATCAGCGGCGGTGGCACAAGTGGTCGAACGTAACAACTCTAGCAGCCGGCTAATTCATCCAGCCAGGTATGTATCGCGCCGTACTCGGTAGGAAAAAAATCCTTCGTCGTTTGCTGGCGGTGAAGTCTCTGGCTGCTGCCTGTCCCTTAGCTGTGTTCTCGATGCGGACGTGTCCTGCGCAGGCAGCTATATAAACCTCCCGTCCCTTGCAAGATGAAGGCAAAAAGCTGGCGCAGGCAGCAGATCTGCACGTCCAAGTACCGGCGGTGGCGTCGAATCGCGTCCTGCTCCTGTCCCTGTCGTATTTCGTCGCTCGTCCCGCGCGCTTCCCGATCTCTCAATAATCAAGATCTCCGTCTTTTATGTTTTTTTTGGCTTTGCTGCAAGTTGAAGTCACGGTTTGTTTTTTAACCTTTTTTTTGCCCTTGCGAAACTCTAAAGCGCGCGTGCCGTTTGTTGGCGGATCCACAATCACATGTTCAGCCGCCCGAAGTGGCAAGTTTGTCCGATAGCTTTCTGCAAGTCGGCCCCGGGGGCTGCTTACACAGTTAGTTAATATGTACCTGAAGGCCGCAGCAAACATGACGCGAAGTGGGAATGCAGAGGAATAAGAAATGCGGCTGACGGCGCAAAAGGCAACTTTTTAGTTGCTTGTAAGACAAGTTTTGCAGTGGGCTTTTGGCGGCGGCGGCGACCTGGGATGACGTAGCCGCGGAACAAAGTAATTCCGGGAGAAATACCACGTGACTGTAATTTAAGCTTATCAGATGGCAGCGATACCATCTGAAACAGTAAATAATACACGCTTAGTCATTCTCAACGCCTTCGAGGGAGTCAAAAATGGAAGAAACCACCTTGAAGACAAACATCACCTTTTCTTTTTTGATATCGAGCTACACAGCACCTTTTTTTTTTACCTTGCTAGACACTATTTGGTAAGCATCGCGCCCGACGTCTCTCTCCCCTTGCTCATGCACAAATATTAACCTGTATTATAGGCCCCGTCTCGAGCTGGAATCCGCCGTTGGCCTAGCAGCTATTGTTCATGCCACCTCACACCAGGCTCCGTTTCGTCGGCAGTGACGCAGCACTGAGGTGATCGATGGTCGTCGTTACAGTCTAGCGAGACAACATCACCCTCGAAGACGACTGATAACTGATAACTGAAAGCATAATGGACTGGGAGCCCATGGATACCGCCGGAGGTCGATCGCCCACCCCAGACATTATGAACGACCCGGCCTTCGAAACGAACCATGGGAACAGAGCAGGAGGTCCAGAAGAAGCAGACACATGCCGGATATGCCGTGGGGAAGGGACCGATGAGGAGCAGCTCTTTTACCCCTGCAAGTGCAGTGGGAGTATCAAATTCGTCCACCAGAACTGTCTCATGGAGTGGCTCTCCCATTCGCAAAAGAAGCACTGCGAGCTGTGCAAGACCCCTTTTCGCTTTACGAAGCTTTATGACCCGAATATGCCTAGCGAGTTACCGGTGCCGGTATTCTTGAAGGAGCTGTTTCTACATGCTTGCCGCGCGATACTTACTTGGCTGCGATTCGGCCTGGTTGCCTTTGTGTGGCTCGGATTACTCCCATGGTCGATGAGGACAATATGGAGGGGTCTATTTTGGCTGGCGGATGGAAGATGGCCCGCGCCAGATACAATGCAGAGACCTGTTTCATCGGTAGCCAACAGAAGTGTGGCATGGCTAGCTGCTCATGGGACGTCTCCTGCAACGCCAACTCTTGCATGGGATATACCTAGCATGTCTGCTGCCAATGGAAGCATTTTACAGGCCAACTCTCCATCTCGGAGTGCTCCTTCGATGCTCAATTTTTCCACCGGTGAACCTTTGATATACTCTATTGCAAAAACCTTTCTTTCTAATGCCTTCTCCACCCCACAATCCCCCAGTTTGAATCACTCATCTGCTGCTCCACCAATAAAGCGCATACGGCAGCCATCGTGGCTCTCCGATATTACCTTTCTAAACAATGCTACCTCCTCCCCAACCTTGAATAACGTCATCATTGATACCTTAGAAGGACAGCTTATCACCCTACTTGTTGTGATATCCTTCATCCTGGTGTTTTTGATTAGAGAGTGGGTGGTCCAGCAGCAGCCCGCGATTAACATTCCCGAGGGCGAGGGAGAAGCTCTGGGCCAGCTTTTTAATCGTGTCGTGGAGCAGCACGCGGAGCAAGAGGCACGTCGTCAAGACGCAGATGAAGAGGAAGAAACAGAAGAGGAGGAGGAGGAGGAAGAAGAAGAAGAAGAAGCCGATGGTGAAGTCGAAAATCCTGAGACTTATCACCCACAGGAAGAACCGGGCCATGAACCTGAAACCGGTCTTGATAGTACACCCCTGCAGAGAGGAGGCATGTTTGACGAAAACACCTTGCCCGACGCGCAAACATATAATCCTTTTGCTCCTAACTACGCGGGCCCATTCCCCGAGAATTCTCCTTACTATCGTCATGCTCACGCACAGGAACCACCAATATTCCGCGGCAATTTTCACAACCACAACCGGCCGTTCCGGATACCAGTCGATGCTTCCAATCGACCCAGTATGTGGGACGAACCACAGACCAATTTTACAAGTCGATTAGAGGGCAGTCGGACCAACTACCCCGAGTTTGGAGCAGGTGACCGCAGAGAAAAGGCAGACGATAGTCCTGATGAAGGCTCTTCCTCTAGAACACCTATGACAGAGCAAGAAAATGTACTTCCTTTCAACCCATTCACTGGGCAGATAACTCAGTGGAAGTTCCCCGACTTCAATGGAGAACAGGCATCACCGATCGACGAGCCAAGCCAACAACAGCCGCCAACAGTTCCTGCCGCTGCCGCTAACGCCCATGATGATCAAGCTCATGCTCTGGCTCATGAACATAATGAGCCAGACATAGATAAAGACGTGGAAATTCCTACCTCGAGTATTCGGGTTGCAAACTCTCCGCCGGAGGACCTGAATAACAATGTACCAAACCCAGAAATTGTTCCTAGTACTCGCAATGCGGAAGAGGGATCACAGAATGAACCAAATTCAGAGGGTAGCACCCAAGAGCAAGCGGAAAGTCCTTCACCGGCCCAACCCGCTGCAGCTGCTCCCAGAGAAGAACTTCTTTATACTCCGATAACACCGCCTAGAAACTTCTTGGACAGAGTGTTCAACTTCTTTTGGGGCGCCATTCCGATAGTGCTTCCAGACCCGGAAGACGCAGAGGGTGGTGGTGACCGCCAACCAGCCCTTATCCGGCAACACCAACGTCACAGACGTGGTAACGATGCCAATGAAGCTGCTAATCGTGCCCGTGGTGCTGCTGGTGCCAATGACGCTGGGGATGGCAACGATCCTGAAGCTGTTGAAGATGTAGATGACCTTGAAGGCGTTATGGAACTTATCGGTATGCATGGGCCATTATTTGGCTTGCTACAAAATGCAGTGTTTAGCGCACTTTTAATATCCTTTACCGTCTCTGTTGGAATCTGGCTTCCCTATCTATGGGGTAAGATTGCTCTGGTGATGCTGGTCAATCCTATTGGTTTATTTATCCGAGTGCCCCTAACTGCTGTCTCTATGCTGGCTGATATCACCGTTGACCTTATCCTTGGATGCTTTGCATATGTGGTCTATCTCATGAACGTCTTGGTTAGGGCAATTCTAGCCCAACTCGGCTTGTTCATTCCCAGTCTCGGGAAGCTCTCCGCAGCTAACTCCATCACCTTCGCATCTCTCTCCTTGATGGAAGGTAGCAGCCAGAGGTTGACGGGAATTCTCACCGCAGTGTTCACATTCCATGAGTCTGATCTCCCTATGTTCTCTGCCATATCACATGAGGCCCTGAAACTACATCAAGCCAGGATTGCCTACCTAGGCAGTGTACTTTTCAAGGGTGGTAGGGCGCTACTCCGTGATATTCCCTTGAGTATAATGCAATCGGAGAATCCTCTCTTAGCAGTTAAAAATTTCATTCTCGCCGATCTTCCTCGGGTTCCTGGCTTAGCGACGAGTGCCGTGAAGAACACTGGTGGGATTTTTGGAATCATAAACTGGCTAACAGATTGGTCAACGTCGGATACTCTTATACAAAGCTCGTCGAACTATGACTTAAGTCGATGGAGTTCCAAAGATCGACTTATCGCCATAATCCTGGGATACTGCTTTGCATCCCTTCTTGGTATCGCGTATCTGCGTATATCCGGCATCATATCTGGAACTCGCCGTGACAGACAAAGAAGAGATGGTCCAGTTGCTGAGATACTTCGCCAGGCAGGTGGTGTGATGAAGGTTATCGTTATAATCGGGATTGAAATGATTGTTTTCCCATTATATTGCGGCATCTTATTGGACATTGCTTTACTACCTCTCTTTGGAAACGGCCTGTTTGCCTCTCGCGCAGCATTTACTTTGGAATCACCGTTAACTTCCCTCTTCGTCCACTGGTTTATCGGAACTTGTTATATGTTTCACTTTGCGCTATTTGTCTCCATGTGTCGAAAGATTATGCGCAGCGGTGTTCTATGTAAGCCATCGCCTACCCTTGCATTTTCTATTTTATTTTTTAATAATACTAACCCCAGCAGACTTCATTCGAGATCCAGATGACCCTACATTCCATCCAGTGCGTGATGTACTTGAACGAAGTATTACTACCCAACTTCGAAAGATTGCATTCAGCGCTCTAGTATATGGAGCCTTAGTTGTTATCTGTCTAGGTGGGGTTGTTTGGGGTTTATCACTAACATTCAGTGGAATTCTTCCGGTATACTGGTCTTCGAATGAACCGGTTTTGGAGTTCCCAGTGGACCTTCTCTTTTACAACTTTGTCATGCCTGTCGCCATTCGAGCAATCAAGCCATCGGATGGATTGCATGCGATTTATGACTGGTGGTTCCATGAATGCGCCCGAATGCTTAGACTTACGCATTTCCTCTTTGGTGAGAGAAAGCCTGATGAAGAGGGATACTATGAATACCTTTCATGGAGGGACTCTATCCTCTGCATGTTTACAAAACAAAAGCCCCAACCTAGGCGTTTCCTCCGTAATGGAAGATTCGTTCGAGCACCGGCATCTGACCAAGTGAGGATACCCAAGGGTGAGCAGGTATTCGTTGAAATCAATGAGAACAATGAACGTATCGATGGAAAGCCAGACAACGACGAGGGCCGCCATGGGAAGAAGAACGCGATGTACTCTCCAGTTTATGTCCCACCCAATTTCAGAGCCAGGATCTTCGCCTTCCTACTACTACTATGGGTCTTTGCTGCGGTCACGGGCGTTGGAATTACAATAATACCACTCATACTTGGGCGTCGAATGCTGTCGTGCATGTTCCCACCTCATATCCGTGTCAACGACATATACGCGCTATCAGCTGGAGTATACGCTATTGGAACAGTGTATTATGCATACTTACACTTCAATAAAATATCGGACACCTTCCGTGAAGGTATCCAGCCGTACACGAGATCTCCGAAACAACTACTTTACAAAACTTACTGCCTGGCGCTTCGCGGTCTTCGGGTGGTTTACCTAGCTGCCGCAGTTGCACTGTTCCTCCCCTCCGTTTTTGCCTTAATCACGGAGTTTTACCTGTTAATACCACTACACACTTACCTAAGTCCATCAGAAACCCACGTTATCTACTTCGTACAGGACTGGACTCTAGGAATCCTATACGCCCGGATGGCAGTTCGATTCTTGCTCAGAAAACCTATGTCTCTACCAGCCATGGCGCTGCGTGGCATCGTTCGGGACGGCTGGACCAATCCTGACATATGGCTAGCAACAAGGGTCTTTTTCATCCCTCTGTCCCTCGCTGTATTTGTTGCTACAGTCTGTCCACTCCCCATCGGCTATATTCTAAACTCCACCTTGTTCCCTGAATCGTCTTCAACATTCCACTCTCAGGTCTATCGATACTCCTACCCTGCGTTTTTGGTATTGATCCTTCTTCTCTGGGGATTACATTTGCTTCAACGACAGATTGGTGTTTGGCGGGTTAGTATTAGAGACGATGTATATATGATCGGGGAGCGGCTTCACAATCTCGGCGAAAAACGTGCAAGGAATGTTGGTCCGGCTAGGAGGATGATTACTTCGTGAACATCGCGATTTTTATATGTATAAATATTACTATTTCCTGTTCTGCAATTACAGACAGCGTTGGTATTTCTTTCTGCTTTTTCAAGTGTCTGGCTTGGGGATTTTATTCGGATTACGCTGGAACTTAACTGGCCAATCAATTTTTAGTATCTCAATTCTAAATTTAACGCAACTCAAATAACTAGCGTATGGATGGCGAATAAGCTTTACATAAAGTCTATCTTGCTTGCGGCTCTGTGCCTCTCTGGTATGTTTTCGTTCTCTTAGTCGAGGTTGAGTTGCAAATACTTGTCGGCAAAAAACCATATGTTAGCATTCGAATCTGCTACTTCGTCTCGTAACATTTAGCTACTGTATAGGCTTCTTTAGCTGCTACTGTGTGGTATCTGGCCGATGCGTCTTTATTCCAACGAAGTTGTGTCTGAAGACACGTATCGAACAAGCAAAGTTCCTTTTTAAAACAAATATTAGCAAGAAGTTTTAGAATAATACATCCTATTATCATGGCTTTGACTTAGAATAAGCGAGGAGACCAGTTCCACCACATACTGTTGACTACCTGATAGGTATTCCTTTCTCCCATCCTGACGCCCCAGACAAAATCTTCAACTACTAGCCTCACTGTAACACCTGGTGAGTGCGTATATTTTGCTGTAGTTACAACTATGTACTCGTATCTGGCTCAATCGATATGCTAATGCAATGATATCATCTCCCGTTAATTGCCCTGAACGGGTGTAAACAGGTGTTCTCTTGGGCTGAAGATATATATCTGGTAGAGCTAATATTGGTTATTTAATATGAAATATAACATGACATTCTCCATTAGTATTCATCATTTAGCGCGGAATATATAAACGGTAGTCATAGCAGGCCAACATTTCTCATGGAACCCCCCTCATGGTCCAAGCGGGAGCAAAACGCACGTGCTTTAAGCTTAATCCTGGGTCATGCACGTGATGAGGCTGACCCGCGGCTTATCCGTTTATGGAAAGTTCACCCGGCCCGGCGGGAATTTAGGCTGCATAAATCTCTACCCCGTGATTGGTCGGTGCCAGGCAGCAATGTTCTGGGGCTTTGACGATATATTTAGACGACAACCTTGACATCCCCGACATAGGCACAGCCTCACAAGAGAACAGCTGCTATTCTGACGATTTAAGGCAGATATATATCACCATAAACCGCCCACAGCACTTCTATAGCTTCTGCTCTACGGACATTCCACTTCACTTTCAGAACTGAGCGCTCTAGCGCTAACTCCGACGCTATGTCGGTCCTCAGACATGGAAGCGCCTTTCTGCAGCGGCGGCTGACGAAACTGTATACCGACACGAAATCATCCTGTGAAAGCGCAACAACAGCTGCCAGGCCGAATGATGACCCTGAACTTGTATCTCTTAACCGTCATTTCCGCACTCAAAAGGATAGGCTGCTTGCGTGGGGCCTAGATTGGAGTGATGCCAGCGCAGCGCAGCCCAATGATATTGACGAGGCCCTGACCGAAGCTGGATTTAGCGACGTGGTTGCAAGCGTTATGTCATCTATCCAAAAACTTCTCAACGAAGCAGAACGACTACAGCATCCTAATCCTGCAACTATATCACCGGATGGAATAGCGGGCAAGGCTGCAGATGGGAGCTACACCACGGGCACAACTGGTGGTGTAAAGACAACTTGGACAGAAGCAGAGATATCCCGGTCTAAAGTACTTTTGGAAGAGTTAACATCCCATATTGATACCCTTTATGACTTGTCAGCATCAAGGAGGGACATGAGTATGGGCATAAGCTCAGGTACTCCCCAAAGTGAGAAGTACAGTCACCATCGAGGCCTGTCAAAACAGTCCAAAGAAACAAAAGAGTCTCTTCGCCCAAAATTGCCAACTTCGAAATCTGCCCCCAGCAAAACAACGCATCATCTAGAGGTTTCGCCAACCCTGGCTACTAATGACATGTCTGCGGTCAACCCTTTCGTAAGCATGCATATTGATCCTAGTATGACTATTGAAAATGCTGCATTTCAACAGCTACCCTTGCATACTGAGGAAAATGGAGAATTTTTCCTTGATCGCAACGCTCTGAGCCTCTCTAAAGAGCATGTTTCACATGCGACCACCCCTCCTCCCTACGAAGCAATTGCTGCCTCGACCAGCTCTAGAGCAATGGGATTTATAAAAAGAGAAGCAATTCCATCTTGTATGGCTCGAGGCTGTACAAGTATGTCTATCCCCGTGATGGTCGAATTTTTACCAATCCTGATGGAGGCTCAACAATACCTTGCTCGGCCATTAAAACAACGTTTAAAATCCATCGGTCAAACACTTGATCGTTTGATTGAGAATTCAAGGGTCTCCCACCTCGGTTTGCTGAAGTTTCTAGGTTATTATATTGACATGACTTACTCCCGATATGGTTTCGTCTACCATACACCCATCGATACCTTCCCATTCTTAAAGCAGCCTTCCGATACGATTCAGCCAAAGCCATTGGTTTCCTTGCTGCATAACGGCGATGATAAGCAGGAGGGTCCTGTTCCAAATCTCGAAGATCGGTTGGCCTTGGCTTACAATCTGCTGTTGTCTGTTCTTCATCTACGCAGCCAAAACCTAGTCCACGGCAGCATAACAGCAATAATATTATTATATTTCCAGGAGTTCACCTATCCAACAATGGGTCCATTAGCAACGAGAGCCTGGACTATAGGCGGCCTTACTTTACCTCATTTAGCCAGTTTGACAGTGAAGATAAGAATGCACCGCCAGAACCCTTATCGTCGAGTATGTACCGCCATCCAGATGACAGAAGGACCTATTCCGATAAATCGGCCTGGGCGTATGACCTATACAGTCTGGGCCTGGTGCTACTAGAGATTGGACTTTGGACCCCTATTGGAAGGTTGTGGAAGCTGAAATACAACAACTCCATGTTCAAATCCAGAATTGAAAATGTTTACGTCAAGAAACTAGCAGCTAAATGCGGCGGTGCCTATATGCAAGTTGTTCAGCTCTGTCTTGACGCTCCCAACTTCCATCTGTCGACAGAGCCTATGGCAGATTTAGGCCTCAGAATACCGCAGACATATCACTATCCCTGGCATGATCCGGGCAATTCGAACGATTGGAACACATTCTCGAAGAATTTTGTTTATACAATTGGCAAAATCCTTTGGAGATGCTGCGGCATTGATGTTTTTTCTCCGCCTCCAGCATCTGACCTGGAAGACTCTCTCCCACCCCCATTGGGGCTTGAGCCAGGCTTATCGTCGTTTCAACAAATACCTCTAAATGAAAGAGATCTTCATATTGTAGAGCCCACCGTCTCCATCGATATCCCTTATGATATTTCTGCTAATCCGGACATAAAGGGCATTAGTGAAATGTGTGAAGGAAATGAGAAGAAAGGGCGGAAACGTTCCATGAAGAAGTGGTCGAATGTGGAAATACCTGAAGAACACTTACAAACTTGGAATAAGACTTTGATGCCGAAAATAAGCAAGCTTTTACAAAAAATTCTGAAAGATTCACCAGAATCTTGCAGCGCAACCCTGCTGGTTGCCGGTGAAACCGCAGATACAGCTAAGACCACCATCTGTGTTACTTGTACCAATGTCAGAAAGGTCCGAGCAGCATTAAAGAAGTACTTTGAGTACGACCGGGAAAACTGGAATCTCATTGTTATTCGTGGAGATATCAAACGATCAAAAGTCCCACGAAAGAAGCGCCGGAAACCAAAGTCAAATAAGGGCATCATTTCCCCAGAAATCTCGAATCCTGACTTCAATTCCCATTACCAGACCAAACCAATATGCGGCGCTTCCATTGGCGCCTTTCGTTACGGTGAACATTTGCCACCAGTTTCATACGGCGGCGCGATACTCGTGGATGGAATACCCTATGGGATGACGGTGCACCATATGCTCGATACACCCTGTGACGATGATGACGATTGTGAAGATGATTACGACTATGATGGTGGGGATTGCCCTCCACGCTCATCGGCAAACTATTTACATGGATCTGATGATGCTAATCAAGGCCCCTCGTTTTCTTGGGGTGAACCCAACATTCACGAAGATGGTTATCCATTAGAATTCTCTGATGACGAGGACGGTGATGATGACCAGTCCATAGCACATAGCCTCGATGAAAGCTTCGATGATCACTGGCTCTCCGATGGCTACTCTAGTGATGAAGGAGACGATTATAGTGGCTTTGACGACGATGATACGGCCTCGATTGGTGATACTGTAGGTGTTGATCCTGGTGAAAAACCTCGGATAATGGTAACACAACCTGCCCTCGATGATGTACATGAAGACTTCTTCCCCAGTCCAGAAGACCGGGACGATGAGCACCTTGCATCCCATTCCCTAGGTTTTGTCCATGCTTCCTCCGGAGTTCGAAGGTGGACTAAAGATGGCATCAAACACGAGGTGGATTGGGCGCTTATCAAGGTCGACCTAAACAGAATGGAAGTGAAAAACCTGGTCCCGGTTTCGTCACCCCAGCCAAATACTTCCAAGCCTAATAATCGGCGACAACCACAAGGCAACGCAGGCTCATTCCAGACTCTCACAAAAATTGCCAAATTTGACGACCTGGGTGGCCTCAATGTACAATGTTGCGGTCGAACGAGCGGTTTCCAGAGCGGAAAAATTTCTAAGGCCCTAACCCTAGTAAAAATGTACGGCCGTCAATCTTTTTCGACCAGCTTTAGCGTCGATGGCAACTTTGGAGGTATGATTGTTTCCGTTTATATTTCCAAAAAGAATAAATATTAATGTCTTCTGTAGTTCCTGGGGATTCCGGTGCTTGGGTATTCAACGACAAAGGCCAAGTGTGTGGCCATGTCCTTGCATGGTCCGAAAAGAGTCGAAGTGCCTACATTGCACCAATGGAGATCCTTCTGAACGACATTGCTCGTACTCTTTGCGCATACAGCGTGAAACTTCCCGATGGCGATGAAGAGATATGCTATCGTGATAGCTCGCCGCCGCCACCTTTGCAGGGAATTCCTCCTCCAATGTTTTCCGTTCATGCAACAAAACCTGTTTCGCCAAACCCAGTGATAGCTGAGCATCTTCCAGTTGATTTGCAGAAACTCACCCTTGATCTAGAAGAAACACCCCGTAATAACACTAGAGTAGGGGGCGTGAAGAAGAAAGATGTTTCTGGGACTTATAGGGCTAGCACCCCCCTCATGCAACACGCTCGTATGGAGCGGCAAATCGCTTGAATATATGTATGAATTTAGCTGTTTACATGAACTCCCAATATACCCTTTGTCATTTACAAAATAGTACCAGTGCATTGGCCGTCAATACCTTGAATGGAATTGTATTCAAAACCCTAGAGTAACCCAGGAGCACGGGAGTATGTTGCGGACTAATAGTTGCAGAGGAATTGATTACAAGACATTTAAAAACTGGTGTGTTGCTCTAAACATTGTATAAAAAAAATATATAACTATCTAGACTCATGAACTCCACACTTCATCTCATGTTAACATAAACCATTAATCGGGACCAAAAAGAACAGAATATACAGATGCAAACATACAACGGGTGGGGAAAAAAAAATTCGAACACGGATACGCAATGCAGAGATGCAAAATAATCAAGTACATCGGAAGGTGCAGGAAGGATAGTTAACCAGGGCTTCCCCTCGAGGTCCGGGTCGACATTGAAATTAAGATGAGCCCAAGTATTTCAGTACAGCAGCCTTCTCATTGTCAGGAAGCATGCTGAGGACTTTTTGTACACCCCGTAGACCACCTTCTTTGTTGCCCATGAGCAAAGACGCAACCTCTGCAGCAATTCCGTCGGTCTTGAGAGCCTCGATCTTCTCGTAGACGTTCTTCTTGTTTTCTTCGTACCAAATCGCGACCTCACGGTCGTTAGACTCGAATTCATCGTCAGAGATTCCAGTCCAGGCCTTGAGTTTGTCAAGGTTCTCGTCACGCTGGGTGCGCGGGGTGGTGATGGTTGACGTATTGATTCGGGATGGAGCGTCGGAGTGAGTTGGGATGGGAGATGAGGGAGGGGAGGATGAGGCTTGAGAGCTAGTGGCGGAAGAAACAGTCGCAGCGGCCATGCGCTTAAGAATAATTTCTTCACTTAGACGACGGCGGAGACGCCAGTAGAAGAAGCGACGTGCGTTCTTCCATTCGAGCGGTTGTCGGATAGTACCCTTGGCTTCCATACGGCCGGCGCGGTCATGAAGGTCAGCGAATTGCAGGGCAATCTGCATGTAGACAGGGAGGAGCCTCTCTTCACGCTCGGTCATCTGGGCCTTGATTTCAGAAAGCTTCTCTGGGCTATGAGACTTGTCCTTGAGAGATTCACGGAGAGCACCATATTCGGGATCCAGGCGGGCCATAGTATCAAGCTGCTTATCCCGGCGGTATTTGATGTTGACGATACCTTCAGGCTCGAGAATACCACCACGGGCCTCAACGTCGGCATACATCTCCATCTGATCGGGGTTGATAGTTGGGTCAATAACGACCCAAGAACCACCACGGAGTTCACCGTGTGGTGGAATATAGACGAAGATTGGCTGCTCGTACTTAACAAGGGCATCAACGATGTAGGAACCGTATTTAAGAACCTCGTTGTACATGTCACGTTGGCCACCGGAGAAACCACGCCAGTTAGCGAGGATCATGACAGGTAGCTGCTCACCGTTGTTAAAGTCCTTGAGGGCTTGCGCAGTCTTGAATGCAGAGTTAGGGTACCAGACCCCTCCAGCTTCTGTGGACAGAACTTCCATAGAATCAGGGTTGGCGGGGTCGGCAGGGGTGACACAGTCGACCGATCGAGTTTCGACAGCAATAACACCCATAGGGATACCACCGAGTCTAGCACGGCCGACAACGACGGTTCTAGCCCAGCCACCGAGAGCTTCTTCGAAGGAGCCCTTGTCGAATAGACCAGACAAGAATCCTTCATCATCTTCCTTACCCCCAATGATCCAACGGACATCATAGGGCTGCCTGGGTGGAGGGCAATAAGTAATGTCTCGGTTCCAGGGGTCAGAGGAAGGGCGGATGGGGATTGGAGCGCCCTTCTTCTCAGGGACGAAGGACATCCACTCCACAATTTTGGTGATACCAGCAAAGTCATCGTTAGCAGTCATGTGCGAGACACCGTTCTTGTACATGATTTGGGTACCGCCGAGTTGCAAGTTGGAGGTATATACTTCACGGCCAAGGAGCTTGTTTATAGCTGGCGCACCAGTAAGGATGATGGGTTGACCCTCAACCTGGATGGCACGATGACCTAGGCGAACGAGGTATGCACCGATTCCAACGGAACGACAGGTAACAAGAGTGATAGTAAAGATGTCCTCGTATGCCTTGGATGTGGCACCGGCAATCAACCCCGAACCTCGGAGACATTCAACACCAAGGCCGTCCTTAGCTCCAATGATAGTGGTGATCTTGTAGCGCTCTTCACCATCCTCGGTAATCAACTCAGTGATCAGATCCTTCTTCTTTTCCTTCTCGAGACGCTTCTCAACCTCTGGGGTGAGGTAGAGATACTTGAATCCGTTCTCTGGTTTGTCGGGGTTGTTCCAAGCAACATTGAACTGAGACATGAGTTCATCAGCCATGCCGATACGTGCACCAGAGTTAGCAGAAAGATAGATTCTAGGAATGCCCAGCTTTCTGGCCAATTCTGTACATTGGTAGAAAAATTTATCCTCTTGTGGTCCGAAAGAGCCTATCTGGTAAGTGATATCGTTGGCAACGACAATAAAGCGTCGTCCACGAGGATATTCTGGGGTCTTAGCAGTGATCAACCAGCCGACCATTCCGTGGGTGTTAGTGCCTGGTTCACGAGAAACTTCAGCGAGGTTGTCCCTGTCATCAAGAACGAGTTCAGAATATTCGATGCAGGTTCCAAGCGCAGGTCTCTTCTCAGCCAAAGCGGGATGGGCAGCAATAGCAGTAGTCCAGCTGTTCTGGAAAGCCTGACGGAACAGCTCTGGGAAATCGTACACGTATTGAGTACCCATCAGATGGGCCTTGTAACGCTTGGGCTGCAGCCACTCTTTGGTAGGATAAGGGGTAGAGACAGGACGTAAGTGCATGGATCCAATCTTGGTAGTGCCGCCGATTGAATGGAAAATCCATTCGCCTTTTTCAGACTTACGCTCCACGTAAAGTTCAACCTGGATGATATAGCCTGAAGTGTTGGTGATGACAACTCGGAGCGGGTAAGGTGTGCCGGTAGCTGGGTCGGTGCAAAGGATACGGATTTCGGCACCAGTGACACGTAGACGCCAGAGACGACGACCGAAACGTTCAAGGAAACCAGCGAGGGCTTTCTCAACATCAACTGGTTGCAAGGGGAAGACGGGAGTGAAATTGATAAAGATATGGTTGAGATCAGAGTTATTGTTGCCAATGATCTCAAGGGCGTCAAGAATATCTGTCATCAAGTTGTCGGCTTCAGAAATGAGATATTCCGCGGTGGGAATGTCATCACGTAGCCTGCCAGGGCGGACGACGGCACGAGTGAAGTAGCGCTTGTCAACGGCATTGTCATTGAGTTCTGGTCCCTTGCCGATAGCCTCATAAACGTGCAAGTTACGATTTTCGGTGAAGACAGGCTTGATCTTGAATTTGGATAGACGGCCAAGTTCAAGCTGGAAAGCAAGTGCTGGCTCGCTGTGACGGATACTCACGTCTTCGGCATAAGTAGGACCACGGAAAGTGAAGTAACCAGGGTAAGTACCGTCCTCATGACCGCAAACAAAAGTGAGTCGGCGGATTCCACGAGCAAGCAATTCACTCTTTGCATCGTTAACAAGAGCAGTGAGACGCGAAGACAGCTCAGAGTCATCCAAATCTTCAACGTCACGTATAGCCACGTTGCAAACACCGGAGAGTTCTTCATCGGATTCAGAGCGTGGCGCAGGTCTGCTACGGTCAGGCAAGGTACCGCTCTTCTTTGGCTTGGCTGCGGCGGGAGTGGAACGCGGGAAGACACTGAGAGCTTTGTATAGAACTTCCTCTGCCTCATCGAGATAGTGAACTGGAATCAAGACACCCTTTCTAGTCGCCTCGTCAGATCCTTTGTTGGCGAAGGCCATGTCGCTGATTGATCCGATTTTCTTAAAGGGGTTAATCTCTGAAATCGGTGTTCCTGGAACAGACGAGGTGGTTGATTGAGAAGACAACCCAAATTCAGAGTGAGGAACCTTGCGCAGGATGAAATCCCAGGAGACAAAAAATGGTGCATCACCAGTATTGTGATATTCAATACCCTTCAAAGCATAGGCACGATAGGCACGGCGGACATAGACTTCCAATGCAGCGAGGGATACCCATTGATCATTGTGGGCGAAGAAGAGAGGCAGAACGTCAAAGACGGTATACTTGGAATCCACGACTTCCTTGAGAACATTGAGGTCAGGTTCTCTGTGATCCCAGCCGGTCTCACCATATTTGGATTCGATCACGGATGATCGCAAGATGTGCTCCATCTGAGCAACTCGCTCCTCAAGAGATGGCAGGGCACACTGAATAAGCACCTCACGAGCCTTGAGAGCAACCTTGGCAGTAGCGCGAGACTCAAGCTCAGCCAACTTACGAAGGATAGCCTTGAGGTAGTTTGCAACATTGCCGACATTAGGCTTGTTAGGGCGGTACATGTCAAGGATTGCGAGAATGAGGTTGTTCTTGGATCCTATCTTGCTATGCGAGAGGACGATCTGGATTACCTTGGAGATATCATCCTTGTTCTCATCACGGAGTTTCAAGATGACACTCTCATCACGGGTGTTTCCCTGAGCGAACAGACGCTCAACTTCCCAGTATTGCTCGAGGAGGGAGACAATGATCTTGTACTCCTGGACCTTGAGTCCGTCCTTGTATCGCTCGATGATCTGAAGAAGCGGAGCAATGGTGGTTCGCAGAGCTTCGGCATCAGCTGCTGCTTTGACATTCTCATCGATGAAACGGGTGACAGTCTTGAGAAGCTGGGCAGCTGGGAAATCTGCCTTGCGAGCCTTTGCACGGTCAATGACCTGAGTCATTTGAGCATCAAGTTTCTGGGGCATACGAGAGTGCAAAGCAGAGGCATAAGCGTTCCATTCACCATAGGGAAGTTCAGGGTTACGCAAGACCTGAACAAGTTCGTTCAAGGTGCTCCCCATGATAACCTGGTTATCGTATCCGAGAAGGATGTCCTGGAGAATCTTGAGGAGAACCATGAAGCGCTGTGGAGGCTTGTTACCGAGTACCTGTGGTGGACCAAGCTCAGGTAGCTGACCCGTGAATGGAGAGGCATGCTTAACTCGGGATGGGTCGTCAAGCGCAAGGATACCGAGAATATCACCAGCTTCAAGGGTGGCTCCGGGCTGCTTGATGAATTGGACGACACCATCCTCCTGGGCGATCAAAGGCATGTACATCTTCATGATCTCGACTTCGGCGAAAGCCTCGCCAGCACGGATATGCTCACCGTTCTCGACAGTGAACTTAACCAGCTTACCAGGACTAGGTGTTCGGAGCTGCGTAGGGTCATTTTCTTGCTCAAGGAGACAGGTCTTCCCATCAACAGATAGACGGGTGGCCGCAGCTTCTTCCTTCCAGTAAACATTGTGGCTTCGTCCGTCAAGAAGAATAAGAAGACCACCGTCAGCCAGAGCCCGAACACCAACTGTACACTTGCTGCCATTGATATAGAGGTGGTAGCTGTCTATGCTGGAGCGGGTGGCCGTAAACTTGTAGCGCGAACCTTCATAGATGAAGTCAATTGGGAACACGGTGCTCAGAACGTCTTTGGCAGGCACCTGACCCTTTTCAATACCCTTGCGGTATTCAGACTCGCAGGCTTCACTGGCAAGATGAGCCTTGGTCATGGCACCGCAGATTACGGCAACCATGGGATCAGGCCGCTCAGCAGTGAGCTTCTTGGTGATAAGCTCATCCAGCCATCCAGTAGTGATGGTGTTATCCTCGAAAGCAGGAGTTTCAAGAAGTTTAATGAGGTACTCAACAGTGGTCCTAAAGTCACCACGGATGCTCAGTTCCTTGAGTGCAACAACCATGTGTTTTCTGGAAGCAGAGCGGTTCTCTCCGTAGGCGAAGATGTGACCAAACTGGGAATCAGAGAAGCTGTGGATACCGCCCGCGGTGCCCACAGAGAAGTAACCCCAAACGTTGGAGGAACTTCGGAAGTTCAGCTCGTGCATAGTACCGCTAGAGGGTTTGAAACCTTCACCTGGATCTTCGGAGGTGATTCGACAAGCAGTAGTGTGGCCCTTTGGTTGAGGACGACGCTGGACCATAGTGCTCTCCTCGTTTGAGAAGCCGAAGTCGATAGGAGAGGAGGTGTTGGGATCCACGCCGTAAAGGAGACGAATGTCACGGATGCGGTGAAGAGGGAGACCCATGGCAATCTGCAGCTGAGCGGCTGGGAGGTTGACGCCAGTGACCATCTCAGTGGTAGGATGCTCGACTTGCAAACGAGGGTTGAGCTCAAGGAAGTAAAACTTGTCATCGGCATGGGAATAGAGATATTCCACGGTACCAGCAGAGACGTAACCAACGAGACGACCGAGACGAACTGCGGCCTTCTCCATCTCCTGGAAGGTAGTCTGCTTAGCAACGGTAACAGGAGCTTCCTCGATAATTTTCTGGTGTCTTCGCTGGACGGAACAGTCACGGCCAAAGAGAGAGATGTTGTTGCCGTACTGATCAGCGAGAAGCTGGACTTCCAGATGTCTAGCATTTCCAGCAAGCTTCATGATGAAGATAGGAGACCCAGGAATTTCGCTAGCAGCGGCATTGTAGAGGGCCTCAAAGTTCTCCTCACTGTCGACCTTGCGGATACCCTTACCACCACCACCCTCGGAGGCTTTAACCATAACTGGGAAGCCAATCTCTCGAGCCTTCTTGAGACCGTCCTCAGGAGAGTGGGTGCATCCTTGATCATAAACATTGTCCTCCACAGTAACGATGCCCTCCTCATCGATTTTAACCTCATCTACGCCCGTGCCCGACCACGGAATGCAGGGAACCCCCGCGTGCTGAGCAACTATCGTAGAAGAGATCTTATCTCCGAGAGAGCGCATTGCGTTACCAGGGGGGCCAATGAAGATGATCTTTTTGGGTGAAGCGGCGAGGGATTCAGGGAGCTTGGGGTTTTCAGACGCATGTCCCCTGCCGGCCATCGTTAGTTTAATGATCCCGCATACAAGTTGCATAGTTTCAGGAAATGCGTAAAACACCTACCATCCAGCCCAAACTGCATGCACACCCGTTCGTTCCGCAACGTCGACGATCAGCTCGACGTTTGCGTAATTATTATTATTAGTTCCACCAGGGACCTATCCTGAGTTAGTCATCCAGCCGTGCCATTGGGAATGAGGATCGAGTCACCCACTTCTACGTATTGATCTGCCATACGAATATAGTCTGCATTCGCTCTCAGGTCCTCCGGGGTTGCCATGACGGTGAACTGGATCGCCCGCTCATCGCCAAAGGTCTCGTAGGCCCATTTTCTCACCGATCGGATCTCCTTGACGGCCGCGATACCGTTATTTGCAATCAAAACCTACACAATTGTTAATCTGTGCTCTTGTGAATCAACTGGGATAGCAGCAATTTTAGCGTACCGATGTAATAACGGAATGACCGTCATTCTTAGCCACAAAGTCCTTGACTGCACCTGGAGGAGCTAGGTCCAACCGATTTCCACCGATAAAATGTGAGGGGAGATTGTGTTTGGCAGCGTAGGCGCTGCCATAGCCATTAATGGCCGTAGAATTGCTTTCAGGCATGGTGGATTGGTCGTGTGGGCAGAGGGAATCCGGTGGCCACGAGCTGACTTCTATAGGGGATTCGGAGAGTTTTCACAATCGGACTCGGAGCCTGTCAGGTATCTCGCGTCTCTCAACGATTTGCAGAGCCACTTTAGACAGAGCTGATGCTATCAACGCTCTATATGTATCTGTATTTATGTGTGTGCCGACGACCGACTGCCCGTCTGCTGTCTGTCCGTGTGTCGTATATCGCTAGCTTGAATGACGCAGCTATCAATGGCTCTGCGGGACGAGGGAGCGTAAGAAGAAGAGGAGAATTAGATAGGAGAAAGAATGCGGTTCTACGCAACGGACAAAGACAGGGAGAAGAAGCAGAAGAAGCAGAAGAAGAGGAGGAGGGAGAAATATAGAGCTGAGGAGAGGAAGAAACGAAGTTGAAGTTGATGAAGAAGAAAAGTTGCTGTTCTTATTTCCCGATCGGTCGAGCCTCGAGCTCCTCGCGGTATTGATGGCGTATCGCGGGCGTCACGAACCTTCCGCCCCCACACTAAACCCACACTGTAAGCGTGTAACTTACCGTAAGAGCCGTTACCCGCCTTACTATCCACCTCCAAAAAGAGCTTTTTGTTTCGATGTTGAGCACGCGCTGAAAGTGTCCGCAAAACTGCGACGTTCAATATCTCTGCCAGCAGAACATCGATAAAGCTGGTTCTTTTCCAGTCAGGGCTGCCTGCCTGTCTAATATCTATCTAAACATCCAGATCCTCCGTCTATGCATGCGGTCTGCTTGTCCTGCGGCTTTCCAGCTCGCTCGCGTCGTCTCAACCGGGCCTGAGTTTTCCCCCAACAGAAAACGACGCTAATCCAGTTAGAGTAACTGACTAAGCAAGGCTTAGGTAAGGCTCGGAGGCAGAAGCCGAGGCTGAAAAGCTTAAAACGACGGAGATTAAAAGGAGATAATATAAGACAATAGGCGGTACTCCATAGGGAGGTGAAAGGTGGCTGGTAATGGATGTTGCTAGGAGAGACAAGTAGAAGAGAGACGCAGATACAGGCGGTAGAGTAGACGGTGGTGGTGAGTATTTAATGCTCCGAGAAGTTGGGTTTCTCTAGTGGCTACATACATGGTCGGAAACAATAGGGTATAGGGGGCATGAACAAAAGAATGAAAACACATGCGTCATTATGTATCTAGATGGTACGGAGTAATGCTTGAAAGAATGATGGCTAGTAGTACTAGTGATTAGGAAGGAAGTAGATGGTTGAATCAAGTTAGTTCATGTTGCTTGGTCGGGTCTCGGGTTTCGGGTTTTGGATAAGGCTGAGCATAGAAACTGTCCGGTCCCGTATTATTTGCCGCGGGTAGATGGCGAGACTGGCGGGGAAGGAGAATTATGTATGCAGGGTAAGATATAAGAATAGATAGATTCAAAGAGAAGGTAGTGGCATAAAAGTTGGTGCTGTTGTTGTTTGTTGTATATTCATTAAATTCAAGGGGTTGGTTGGTTAATATGTCTCACCTAGGCTACCGAGAGACGAAGACGGTCGAGGCGTGATGCTCGCCTTCTTTCTGCCAGCTGACGGCGGAGCCATATCGCCTTCTCTCCTTCCGATGGCCGAGCTGGTCCGTCGAGGTGTCAGGCCTGCTGGTGTTGGTATAGAAGACATCCCGCCGCTAGTTCGTCTCAGCACTGCGGGAGTTGGGATGGAGCTGCCAGACCCGACGCTATCGTAGCGTCGTGGTGTGGGCGTGTGCATACTCAGGTCCATCTCAGCGTTATCTTCGTCGATATACGACATACTGGCGGATGGGTTGTAGTTGCTTAGTGATGAGCGAGGGCGTCGAAGGCCGCCGCCGCTACTAGTGCTGCTAACTGATGGGTGATGCTGATGGCTATGATTATGGTTATGGCTATGGTGGTGGTGGTTGTCGGAAATGTTGGCCATGCTCATGTTCAGCGAGTTGCTGGTATAGTGTCCTGGCGTGCGCGAGCCATTTAGGTTCTGACTGTTTAAGCTTTGGCGAGACTCAGAGCGCGGCTGAGCGATGCTGCTTGACGAGGTCATGTTACTGACGGAACAGCGCGATGACATACTGGTGCGACTTTCTGGTCGCGATGGTGTTGACTGAGATGGTGCTGGAAGTCCAAACGAGCCTCGTCCTTGGGAAATTCGGGCCCCAGGGGTCACCGGTGTGTGCGGCATCTCGTTATTGTCCTTTGAGCTACTGGCCACACTACCGCTCGATCGTTTCCTATTGCTGCGGACCGTTACAGATGAAGGCATGTTGTATGCTGGGCCGCCCATGGCAGAGCCGGTGCGAGGAGATGCTCGGGGTGGCGTATCCACCGGTGCTGGTAGTCGCGATCGTGCAGACTGGACACGCTCCTCTAGCTTTTGCATCTTCCCGATCAGTCCTCGGATTTGGTATAGGGAACTTGACTTGGGGAGGCCATTCGAAGTAGGTTGCCGTCCTGCAGATGGGGTAATGCGGCCGGTTGTGCTGCTCATAGATACCGATGGAACTCGAGAGTGCCGTGAAGATCGAGAAGCCGACTTCTGATGCTTTGGCACACCATTTGACTCGGATATAGAGACACGAGATCGAGACATATTTGGGGTAGCACCCCTGAATGCCCCGTTGGTAGACGACTCAGAGAATGGTGGTGATGGTGGTGTAGCGATCTCGGAAGCAACAGAAGATGCAGACTTGGTCAGCGGCGTTGCGATGGGCGAAGAGGTAGTCGTTGCTGGTGAATGGTCTGCGGCGTCGAGGCGATGGCCGATTCCGTTCGTTGAAGTCGATTCCAGTAACGAAAACTTTGCCTTTCGTTCCAGAGCAGCTTCGGCTTTTCGCAATTTCTCCTGGATGATATGGGTTTCGACCTTAAGATCCGCTAGCTCGTCACGCAGGCGCTGCTCCTTGATTCGCAGCATCTCTCGTTCCTGCTCGCCATTCTTGATCTCTTCCTCGAGCAACACACCTCGCTCGATAGATATGTTGTATTTGGATTCTATGTCTTCCAGAGAAGAGGTCGTGTTGCGAGCTTGTCTCTCAAAGTCATCGTTGGCCACCTCCGTATCCCGGAGTTTCAGCTGCAGTGTCCGGTTCGAGTCTCGTAGCGTAGTGATCTCTTTCTGCAGCGTGCTTTGTACAGAGTTGGCCTCTGACTTAGCCTGCTTGTACTTGGTCTATCAACCTGTAAGAATCCGCGTATGCATTTCGGTGTGCAGATATCATGTTCTCACCTTCCATTCCTCGACCTCATAGCCCAGGCTCTCGACCTTCTCCTTCAGCTTCCGCTCCCTCTTCTCCGATGCCTCGATGTCCTTCTCCAACTCGGCCTCCAGTTCGCGACTCGACGACTGGAAATCAGCCAGTTCGGCTTCGAGCAGCTCATACTGCGACTTGTAGTAAGCGATGGCGTCGGCGGTGCTGGTCGATGCGTTGGGCGGCGAAGATGGGGGATCTGCCACCGCCATGTTTGCGTTGTTCACCCGAAACCGCCCTCCGGACTATGGACGTTTAGGTGTCTCAGAGACAGGTATCGAGCTTTCTTCTCGATTTCGCGATAGCCTATATTCGCTACCGCCCTTTGCACCGTGCTGTTGAGGATGACTGGGTGGCGGCCGTCTCTAATTTGCGCCCAAGGGTGTAGTTGACGTAAGAGATGCTGTGTTATCGTCGAGATACTCAGCGTGCCGCACAGAGTGTTCACGCAGACAGGCCGGAGAGGAACCAGCCTACTTACCCTGCTACTTACCCGTCCCTCTGCTGACTGTGTCGCCGTTGAAGTCGCTGGTCGTCTCGCTGTCTTCGCCTTCGTCTTCGTCGTCTTCGTTTCTTCATCTCGCTCGTTGTTTTGTTTGATGTTGATGACTTGCTGACTCAGCGAAACCATGACAACCGTCACGTGGATGAAGGAGAGAATAGGGGGTGTCACGAAGCCACGACCACGCATAAAGACAAGGGCTGCTTATTTTGATAGAGTGGCGTGTTGAGCAGTGTAAGAGCAGAGGGGAAGGGTCGATGCAGCATAGTAACCAGTGTCACGTACAAGATAATATTATCTATACACAAGCTATCTAAGAAGCGCCAGGGATGCTACCTATATACATACAATCCAGTTTTATATCCAAAGTTTCCAAATAGTAATAACTGGTAGTTATTCGAACGAACGTTAATAAACCGGTCAAACAATGCCGTTCATGATTGGGGGTCATTTTTATGCTCCACGGACTTCATGCCTGCTCCTGTAATAGTCTCGATCCTCCCCTTGGTCGTTCCGGCCAGAACACCCACTCCAATGATACCACCATCACTAGCCTCCCGTAAGAAAATACTCTTCCCCCCATCCTGTGGCCCGCCGCGCAGCAGTGTCTGATCAATATATCTCTGCACATGCTGTTTGTACATCGGATAATGCTGTATCACACCACCCGAAAATCCAACAACCAGCTCCTCAGGGCTTCGAAGGTCGCTGGGTTGTAAGAAAGAGGTAGCCTCCTTCGTAGGTGTGTGGGCAGCGGAGGCTAGCTCTTCAAGGCTACTTAGATGGATGTGCCCCGTACATGCGAGCAGCCCTGTGGTGGCAGCGGCTACTATGGCAGCAGAACGGTTCTGCACTGTGGCTGCAATAGTGCGTAATATCCCAGCATTCTCTTCAGTCCATGTCCATTCGGCTGTTGACTGACGAGGAGGTAGTTTAGTTTGAAGTTCAGAGGCAAGGTCTTTCCTGGTCAGAGAGAGAGAGGCAATGGTTAAGGAAAGTAAATCAGTTGTAAGCCGGTAGGGCTCGACTATTGCCACAGGAAGTGCTTCATCTGGTATCCCGCAAACTGTTTTGAAATAATCATGGGCAATGATACGGACTAATTCGCCTATGTATCGGCCACCGACCATATACTCTAGGGGCTGAAAACCAGGTCGACTGCTTCCCATGGTAAGTGTATTGTCCCAGTCTGAGGCAATACTAAGTTCCAGTAAGGGGCGAGAGGAGTCACGGAGAGTCCATTCTGTGCTAACAAGGACCTCAGAAGCGTCAGGCTGGTTAGCTCTAACCGGACGAGTCTTCTTCTCGTTGAGCGCGTCCATGTTCATTAAAATTGTGGCGTTGCATCCTGAGCCGACAATGAGGCCCATTACTGCCTTACTGTTGGGGAGCGATGGTACCGAGTATGCAAGAGACGCCAGCGTCCCAACCGTATCGTTGGTAATAGCTACCACCCTCAGAGTTGGCAGAGTGCGCCGTAGCCGCTTAGCGTCTGCAGAAGACTCGCGGTTGGCGCGGCGTATATGGCGCTCATATCCATCCAGTAACGCCTCGCGAAGGTTAAGATCCGAATTTATAGCGAATCCCTTACCAGTGGGCATCAGTATTGCTTCGTTAAGGTTCCCTTGCCTAGTAAATGTTAGCTGCGGCGAAATCAGGAGCGATGCATCTGCTGAGCATACTTTATCGGGAAACAAAATGAAATGCCCATGTCTACCGATGGCGGAGAACTGCTCCCTTGCGGCTCAAGGCTGTCGGCTACAACCTCAGCAACTCGATCACCAATCCATGCGAAGAGATCTTTAGCAATATCCTTCTTCAAACGCTCCTCGATCGGCCACGCCTTCTCCAGCGTCCGCCGTACACGAGGTGAAGCTACACCATCGTTACTATGGACCCTGGCTGCTGGTACAGAAGGGCCTAGCAAATCAATAAAGGCCACCCGAAGATAGGACAAGCCAACATATGCAGCCAGATAGTGACCAGTCTCTTGGCCGGTGGGGAGACGAGTCACGGCTGTAGGGAAGAACTGCTCCAGAGAATTTGCCGCAACGTCCTTGAAAGTCTTTGAGAATCGGTATGCAAGGTCGTATACCGTGCTATCATCAAGGATCAGGGGCTTTAAAAAGTCGATTATGCTGGCATTCTCGCCACCGTCGCCGTCGCCTTCAATATCTGTGGCGGAGGCAGCAATCTCCATGATGGGTATCATCGACGGGGCCTCCCCGTCATACGAACTTGATGGTACAGAAGAAGTAGTCATCCTGTCACTAGGTGGTATATTAGCTAGTATCGGTGAACAGTCAGGTCCTGGGCTTGTTACATCTCGACATAAGTCCCGGCCATCTTTGTTCAAATGCTATGCAAGTGCTCGGATCTATAAGAATTGGCTGTTTTTCGGGCTGCTGGGGATATAGCTGTCTATGAGCCACCGTCAAACTCATCCGTCAGCCCAGCCTATAGCCTCAATGTCCCACTGATCTAAGCATCAGCCAGGCTACTATTCATAGGCCGTCAACCAGTACCAGTCTTTCTGTGATGCCTTTTCCATTCGTTTGCTGCATCGTCGTCAGTTCGCTTCGAGATCTGAGTAATCTTCACGTGACCGTCTCTTGCTGGATGCGTGAAAAGTCCATCTACGAAGTAGAAAAAGACGACGACGACGAAGTGAAGACGAGGAAGTGAAGGAGACGAAAGCAACCTGCATAGAGCATTCTAACAGAGGCCCAAAGAGACGTCCCAGCGAGCTTCTCATCTTGTCGTATAGGTGAGTTTCTCCCCTGGCTGCGCCTGCTTCTACTTGGTCCACACCACAGGCTCCGGCATACATCTGGCACCACCACAACTTTCCGCCGTACCTCCACGCACAGCGACCCTTGGCTATATCCCATCTCTGCCGGCTCCATCTCTGCCATCCCCGGCACATCTCTACACATGCTTTCTCGCAATGGTGCTAACTTCTGGAAAGAAGGGCAGTCCGCTGCACCTGGCCATGCGGTGAGCATGGCGGACCCTACAGACCTGAATCTCGATGCACCAAGCGACCTGCAAGATATCCCCGATCTATCCCCAGTAGACGACCTCGTCCCGCCGCCTGAGGGCACGTATCCTGATAAGGCGTCGTTGATTGCATCGGTACATGCTCACGCGAAGGCTCACGGGTACAATGTTGTGGTCAAGTCATCGAGCACGCCCACCGAGAAGAAGCCAGGGCGGACCGCGAAGGTTTGGCTGAGATGCGATCGCGGAGGGCAGTACAGGCCCCGAAATGGGTTGACAGAGGAGACTCGTAAGCGGAAACGCACGTCGAGGTTGATGGACTGCCCGTTCATGCTAGTGGCGGCTGGCAACCCGGGCATCTGGACGCTTACTGTGTTGAATCCGTCTCATAACCATGGAGCCATAGTGGATAAACCACGACAGACGCCTCACCACCGTGTCAAAAAGGGGCAGGTTACTGCTGTACCATACGACTGGCCTCATGATGCTACTTTTACCCCCTTCACCACGGCTCTGGTAGTCGTGGACATGCAGCGGGATGGTAAGAACTCTTCGCTAGTCTTGATCATCCGGCCTGACATTAACCGTATATAGTATGCTCGCAAGAAGGGTACATGGCATATCAAGGCTATGATGTCACTCCTGCAATGGCTCTAATTCCTAAAATCAGACGGCTGCTAGACGCGTTCCGTGCAGCTGGCTTCCCAGTTTATCATACCCGCGAAGGGCATCGGCCGGATTTGTCTACCCTCTCTACTCGAGAGAACTTCCGCTCCCACAACAACCCCACAGCCACGGGGATCGGGTCCACAGGTCCACTAGGACGCTTTCTCATCCGCGGTGAGCCGGGCCATGATATCGTCCCAGACCTCTACCCACTGGAGGGAGAACCTGTTGTCGATAAACCAGGTCGTGGTGCCTTTGCGCACACGGACTTTGAACTTTTGTTGCGTAACAAAGGTATCAAGAACCTTGTCGTTGTCGGTATGACAACTGACGGAGCCGTAGCGAGCACTTTGAGAGAAGGCTGTGATAAAGGGTTCGACTGCTTGCTACTGGAAGATGGTGCAGTAGCACTCGATCACACTCTTCACCTCGGTGCTTGCAATAGTGTGAAGATGGAAGGTGGCTTACTTGGTGCTACATCACGTATAGATGACCTTGTTCATGCCGTCGATAACTTCAAGAACCTCCTGGTGAAGAAGATGGCGCCACAGATGATGGTATCCTGAGAGACCGAGATCACAGTATCTCCGGGTGCTAGTATAATACCCACTCCATCTTCCTTTATTTCCCCGTCATTTACGCTAGTTTTTTCCTACTTACTATTTCATGGCACTCAATGGCGTTGGGTTATGGCGCTTGGGTCATGGGTTTGGTTCTGGATTACGTTTTTAATTGCTCGCTTCCCGGATGGACGCTCTTTTTAATTACTTTCGGGATGTCATCATGCTCCTAGGAAAGTTGAACCACACTAATTAGTTGGAGCACCCTGAATCTATTCAATTACTCTATCCAAAGGCTCGTAAGACTATGCAGAAATGAATTGTTCAACAGTTTCTTGCATGCTCCCACTTGGTACACATAGAGTTGATGCACTAAAATCAGCGTTGTAGTCTCTTGACTTTAAATGCTGGATCAGGGTTTCGTTTGGTCATCTGTTCAAAGCCCAATAGTAGATGTGCCATTGGAGCCAGTAAAAGGCATTTC